GATACTAATACTAATAATGATAAAGTAACACGGGAGGAGTACTATGGATGCATGTTTGAAACGAACAACCGAGTGGAGAAAGAATCGAACAATTCAAGAACTTGAATGATTTCCTGGGCCAGTAAGTAGCACATATTTCTTTCTTTGCTTCTCGTGCTTGTTTTCGATAGTATCTTTCAAGTGGGAAGACGACGAATGGCTGACGATTTTACACACAAATACAAAAGCATGTTTAAAAACGGAGAAATGAAATAATACTATGTCCCACACGGCTGTTTGGCCTCAGGAGATACGCGTAAACGTAGAAACATGAGCAATTTATAGCGTTTATACTCCCCTACTCACCCACGCATACTATACGCAGCACGCACACGTTATTGCCTTTAAACCGGTGCGGATTGGAAATATTCTATATACGTGACCTGGGTTTTACTCGACGTCCTCGACGGCGACGGCGGCGGTGGCGGCGGCGGCGGATACGTCCATCGAGAATCGCCTGAACGTCTCGCGAGGTCGTGTTAGGTATCATCCGGATGCCACGCCATAAGCTGCGACTGGACCACCACCACCACCACCAAGCGTAACCTTCCGTTATTCTGTAAACGATCAAAATGAATTTCGAAAGGTAACAAGAAATAATAAAATGACGACACACACTGATCGAAACTCACTTGACGACGGTACAAAACCAGGCACACGTCGAGGATCTCTGTTCCGATGCACTACTACTTAGTTCTAACTATTTTACTGGGCGATAGTGAAGTATCAAGTCTGCCGAGCTTTTCCAGATGAAATGTCTCACCTAAACACGAAGTAAATGAAACAACAACAACAACAACAACAACAACAAGTATGAAACGAACAAGAATGGTCGCCGCTGGGAACACGAGATCTCGCACGAAGAGCATACCGTTCTCAAGTCCATGGAAGGATCCAACACTTGATCGTTGCACAACAGTTCGACTTTTTCTTCGGCCAGCGAAGAATTGTCAGCGTTCGAATCCGTGTTGGTCCTGTCTCCCGCTGGAGATCCACCACTGGAGACCGTGTTCCCGGCACCTGCCACCGAGCCCGAATCGCTTCCGGCGCCCAACACTTTGTCGCAAACGTGCTCCGCTACTTTACGTATTTGTATAAAATCGTTCGCGATCAATCGATCCCTGTGTCGGAAAAGTAGAAACGTATTTACGTTACGAATTTCCAGATACACCGCAATCGTGCGAGAGTGTTTCGACATCGAGAACATTCGATTCGAGAACACGTCGTTTTCACATACTTTTTTAAGCTCTTTACACCGGACGTGGCGTGTGGAAGAAGATAGAAAGATATCTTAATGAACTGGGGAAGATTCTTGTCCACGACGATGTTCACTACCCACGCTGGGACAGTCTCGTTCAACAGAACTCCTTCCATTTCTCCGGCAGCATCCCTGACTAATAATCTGTACAAAGGTCTGCCTCCTACCTCGCTGCGAATACGCGCCCGCACCCGCAGAGAGAAAGAGAGAGAGAGAGAGAGAGCGACAGAACTCGATCGAATTAAAAGGTCAGCGAGACGTTGAAACAACTTCGATACCTGAATTTACCTGAATATAACGGGCGTATGGGTGGGAACTGAGAAATAAAGATTGCCTCCTCTCGTGTGAACGGATCCGGTACCGTCGTTACTATTGCCTTCGTTCTCATCGTCGACGTGTAACGGTCTCCACCAATGTTCGAGTAGAGCTTGCAACAAGAGGTTCCCATAATTCACTGGAACGAACGAGAAGGAAGAACGACGGTAGAATCAGACGACAATGATCGATGACTGTCGGCGCATTACCTTTCTGATCTACCGCATCGTTTTCCGCGAGACCAGTCTCTCTCGCGGACACCCACGCGGAGAAGCAATCGTTTTCATCCTGACCCAAGTGAATGGTTAACATCTGTGGAAAAACGAAATTGCCGATTCTATCGTTCGTTTGTTCGCCGCTGCCGGTATCCGATCTCCTTCGTCGTTACGTACCCCAGTCTTCAGGTCGACGCTGAACCAGTTTGGAACGTAGACCATTTTATTCCGTTTCTTGATCTCCTGCTCGAAATCGATCTTTCCCAGATCCTCGACTTTCCTCGCTTTCAATACATCGTACAACGCTACGTTCTCTTCCGTGTCCTTCGTCAAAACGTGCCTGCGATCATTCAAAACGTGGCAATGACGTATCGCTGGGCCACCTAAAATCCTTTGGGCCGGTTCCGTGTTCCTCGGTGCCGGAGTCGTCATCCCGCTGGCAGCAGAGTCACAGTAGTCTTCGATTCCTGAATCTTGCCAATCTTTCTGGTTTATCGACTGCAATTTTACTCAGTATCTTATTGGCACGGCACGGGACCCGACCCAACTTATACACGCGTCATACAGATCGTAAAAACTGCCGGATTACTCACCCAATTGTTAATAGTGGAGTCACTGGTCGCGACCCAGACGCTGGATTGATCGGCCGTCATGACCATTTTTAGCACAGGAGCCTTCTCCTCGCAAATAACTGTATACCTTTCCGGGTAACACGATAATTCGGTCATTACGACTCTCTTGTCTCTGCCACCAGATATCACGTGACTGAACGTATCCGTTGCCTGAAACAGACGCGACGACGCTTTTCATCCTATTCAAATCCTATCCTCGAGGAATCGCGAAAACAAGGCAGGGGTCGAGGTCGAAAGGCCGGAACTGCTGCAGGATTCCTCAATTACCAGTAAAGCCCAGACACCCTCTTTGTGTACACGGTAGGTCTGGATGCATCTTTGTTGTCCCAGTGACCAAAGTTTGATCGTTCCATCGGAGCTGGCGGACAAACATTGGGTGCCGTCTCTGTTCAACACTAAAGCTTTAATGTTGTCCATGTGACCGCGAAGTTTCATCAACTTGGTACAGTTCCTAGGATCCCATACTCTCAAAACTTTTTCCGTGCTACCGCTCACTATGATCGTCCCGATCTGATTCATAGCCAGACTGTATATAGAATCTTTGTTTCCACTGAGGGACGACGCTGCGAACGAATCAACGAGAGCAAACGCTGTTTAAAACGAGACTGCTGCCAGGCGTACGACCGAGAATATCGAAAGAATTTGTCGATCGTTACTTGTCACCGTATTGTTGCTCGCTGTGAGAGCTGTCAACGTGTTCACGTCCCAGAGAAAGATCAATTTGTCCAAACCAGCGCTGGCTACTTGCTCCTTGTCTTTGGCATACGCCAGTGCCTTTACGTAGTCCTTATGGGTTCTCAGCGTCGACATGCAAAATCCTTTGTGTGCATTCCACACTTTCACCGTCGTATCAGAACTGGCCGATATCACTGCGTGCGTGCGTGCGTGCGTGCGTGCGTGTGTAACAGGATGTTCGTCGTCGTCGTCGTCGTCGTTTCGAGTTCATTTGGTAACAAGGTAAGTAGGTATAATCATTTTACAAAAGGGGGGAAAAAAGGACTATTCGTTACTTACGATTCTTGCCACCGCAACAGAGCACTATATCGTTGACCCAGTCCGTGTGATGTTCCATCGACTGGATGTAAGGATCCTTCATATTTTTGCAGTTCCATATCCTTATAATGCTGTCTCTACCAGCCGAGTAAAGCCTGTGCAGAACTGGGTCGTACTGCAACGAATTCACCCCGGCTCTGTGCCTTTTCTCCACCTCATCCCTTATCACCATAGACACCTTTATCGAGTCGAGAACAATAACAGATCAGTACGCACACACGTACATACTTCGACAAGATCAACAATTGAAACTGAACGAGAAAAACATGCAGATTGATCGATTGATACGGAGGAACTGTATCGTGTACGGTGTTAGAGACCGGGTAAGTAAGTACGCGAGGACGAGAATAGAAATCGATACGATCTGATCGTATCGTAAATCGTTAGAACGATTTCGACACGGAGCAAAGTTACAATTTCATTTCTCAAGTTCGTAAACGTACTCGGTCCTAACGAGAGTCATCGTAGCAAGTAAGTGTATACCTGAACTTTCTTTCGGGCACTTTGCCCGCCTCCTGTCTTGTGAGCTGCCATTATACGGATCGTCCCGTTCGTTCGCACTTAACAACAGGGAAAAACATTCGAGGATTGATCTGACCGGGATTAATAAACTGTGGCACTCGTGCCGCGTAAAAGCTCCATCGTCGATCACATCGGCGGAACCCTTACACGTTCGAAATGTACTACGTCTCTCGCGTTCGTTCCAAGCGATCCGCGTTGCACATCATATCGGAATTTGAACAGCTGTCAGACCGTGAAGACGAACAGATATAAACAGCGTTCATGCACTGTGCGAGGACGGGAACGCCGGTCAATCCGACGCAGCAGCGGCGGCGGCGACGACCATCACGACGACTACGACGACGACCACCACGACACGTTACACGTAACGTTACATCACGTTTCAGACTCTTGACTCCATGCGCGATTGTAATCGAATAATACTAAAACAAGATTTGATTCAACACTATATATCTCGGGTATTAATTGCGACCTTCGGTCGATCGCGGCGAGATCAGTTAAAAATCGAATCAGTAGGATGTAGTAGGTAAGACGGTTTTTCAATATTTATGTCGGTAGATATTCCTGACCAATAAACGAGGCCGGATTTGCAATGGCAACGGTGGTGTATACATCTCGTTATCATCGTTAGGCATAGTTATACGCCGTTACGCCGCGCCGCTACTATACCCTTAGAGCATATACTACATGGAGGAAGCACGTCTAGTGAAAAAGTGTAGACAACGGTGAGAGAGAGAGTAATAGTTTTGGGTACTCCTTCTCTCTGTCTAACAGTAGAGATAGAGGGGGAAGTCTCTGCCCCTTATCCTAAACGGCGCGAAATCATGTGCGTACGCGAGAGAGAGAGGTAGTACCCAAACCATCATCATCTCTCTCTCTCTCTCTCTCTCACCGTTGTCTACACTTTTTCCTTAGGCGTGCTTCCTCCATGTAGTACATGGATGTAGTATATGTTCTAAGACTATACCCGTCTGCGTATCGCCTGCAGCAAGGAGACCAAAACAGACAGAAAAAGGATCCCTAGACGTGTGATTACAACACTGGCTGGTGGCGCTGGTGATCACCGACCATGTTCACACCGGATGTACGCCCATGACGGTTGGGTGGAAGGGGGGGGGGCGACGAATCAACCAGCCAACCAGCCGAAGGGTGTCGTCGTCGTCAGACTGAAGAAGCTCGCCATTTTAAGCCATTGTGTAAACGTCCCGTTTCTGTGCGAACGTCGTCGTGTGCCAGCGAACGCGCGTCAGCCGAATCGCGGATAATCGCAACTTGGGAGATCGTTTGCGGCATGAATCAGTCGCGGAATTTCACTTCGCTGTTGAACCCGAGTTATTTGCAAAACGCGCAGCAGAATGCCGCGACCGCGAACGCGGCCGCTGCTGCAGCCGCGGCAGCTGCGGCGGTGAGCGCGGCGATTGCCAATGGGACGCAGATCAACGCCAATTCCAGTCCCTCGCCGAATAATTCGCGAAAACGCGAAGCCGAAGGTTCGTTTATAACGATAACGATTACGCTTACACACGTTACATCGCTGTTCATCCGATTCACTTTTAATCAGAGGTTTTGTGTATTCCGCATTTGTTGACTTGGATTTGCATCATTGTTCGCGTCATTTCGTGTGCGACTCGTGCACACGTGTCTGATGTTTTGTCGTTGCGAACGAACACGTCGTTGTTGTCATTATTGTCGTTGTTCAAGAGAAAAAGCTCATGATCTAGAACGAATAAATTTGATGCGCATTCCAGGTGATTGTAAACAAGAAAAAGAGACTAAAGAGGAACGTAGGAAGCGGAAGAAAACTAGATGGAGTGGTAGTGAACATGACAAAACATTTATACCAGGCATGCCTACGGTCCTCCCGACTAATCTGACTCCTGAACAGGAGAAAGCCTACCTCTGTAAGTTCATTTCTCTTCTCCTTTATTTTTCTATTCTTACGTAGTTATAATACATACATGGACAGGAATTCTACGTGTATCGATTTGTCAAAAATTGTCTAATTTATAGTACTAGAAAAAGATGTAAGTATGTATGTATTATTCCAAGTTTATAGTTGCCAGAGGTAATTGTCTTTGAAATGTTTGACGAGCAAGCTTGGCAACAGGGAGTGCCAAGGTTTGCTGAGTAGAAATCTCATCTAAATTGAATTTGTTCATTCGACGTAACAGAAATCGTTAAAGACTCTTATAGCCGATTTAAGAAGTAACGATGTACGTTAAACGATTTACCTCAGGAATTTACAAATAAGATCTAGTGATTGAAAGACTTGGGTGCTACTACTACTACTACTACTACTACTACTACTACTAATACTACTATTACTAATACTACTACTACAACTACTACTACTACTGCTACTACTACTACTACTACTACTAGTACTATTACTACTAGTACTACTACTACAACTACTACAACTACTACTACTACTACTACTACTACTACTACTACTACTAATACTAATACTACTACTACTACTACTATTATTACTACTATTACGACTACTACTACTAGTACTACTACTACAACTACTACTACTACTACTACTACTACTACTACTACTACTAATACTAATACTACTACTACTACTACTATTATTACTACTATTACGACTACTACTACTAGTACTACTACTATCACTACTACTATTACTATTACTACTACTACTCACTTTGAGACATGCTTACATTATAGAATGATATATGGTAATAGCAAATTGGCAATATCTAACTGTTGGGGTTTCCGCCCCCTCTAACCCGTTGGTTTACAGTTCAGCTGCAGATCGAGGAAATCAGCAGGAAGTTACGCACTGGAGATCTTGGAATTCCGCTTAACCCTGAGGAAAGGTTTGAACGAAACTTACATACCAAAAATGACCATAACATATCTACGATACTGACCATTCAGCAGCCCATAAATACAGCAGGAGCCTTGTATGTGATATATATGGCTCCGACGCGCAGTTAGTGTGGGACACTGGCGTCTAGTCGAAATGACCGGGCTTGATTAAAGCCGACCACGCAGCGCAGAAGATCGATTTTGATAATATTGGTTTGCCCTAAACAATTTCTTTTACTAATTCATTTTTTTTTCCTTTCTTTCTTTCTTTCTTTCTTTCTTTCGTACTTTATTAAACACTGCTATCTGGGGGCATACGAACGTGTTTCATGTTTTTGTCAACGAAGCGAACACGCTTCGTACGTACGCGGTGTACGTTTTTCTGTCCAAAGTTACGGTATACGGGCATAGTAGCAGTGTTTAACGCACACGATGGGTGTTCTCTGGCCCATGTATCTCTTAAATAATAGTTATATTATTGCACATGTAGGGAAGTTCATAGGTCGGTGTTCCTATGCAAACTACCTTCACCATCCGACTTAATAGGCTGTATTTCGTTAAATGTGGATCATGTGATCTTTTAACAGAACAAAGAGAATTTTGTGCATGGGGGGCGGGAGAGTGTGGGGGGGGGGGTCTTTAACGGGGTCGACGGCACGTCGACAGTATCGTCGTTTGCTGCCGTGATTCGCACGGCACTCGAACGAGTCGATCAATTAACTGAACAACGATCCGACGATCGATAAACAGATTTCAGGAGAGTAATAAGAATTCGTGAAATTGCTAATTATGACACTGTAAGAGATTCAATATATTTGCGTTACGTTTCAGGTACAACTCAAATAAATACACGTTAATTTTTCTAATAAACCTTCTCATTTACTCCAATAGGTTTAACTTTTCTGATTTTAGCTGGATTGCCATTATTTTACATCATTGTGTTTCGCTAGTATTATACGCAGTGTAGTAAGATATATATATTTATATATATATACACACGCAGACTAATCCAACAAAAATTGTTTCTTAATAATCACAGGGCAGGATATCTTAGCAGCCGACATCGATCACTGCCGTGCACAAACGCGCGCAGTCTTCCGGTGGTTATCTACTGAATAGACTTTTAGCCATGTCACACAATACGAACATTATAGAATTTTTTATTATTTTTGTTTTCGACGCTTCTTACGTTCGCCTCGAAAATTAGTCTCTTCTACGTAACTACGGGACAACGAGAGATCGAGCGATCGATCGTTCTCACCGTTTCCATTATTTTTTCTAGCAACATCGAAATTAGTACGACCTAATCCGACAATCGCTATTGGAATCGTAAACCTCTCTCAGTAAATCGTCACAGTCAGACGACACGTCCAACACCAAGAACCGATTCGTTTCGATCATTACATCATTTCTCCGTCGTTCTCGACGAACGACACATTACACTCGAGACTCCGGTCCGTGTCAGAAAACGCGTGTGCGTGCGTGCGTGCGTGCGTGCGTGTGTGTGTCTTTTTTTTCATTAAGAAGTACACGTCGAAGCCTGATAACTTTGAAAAACGAATCGAACATATCTAGCTCTGAACTTTCTGATAATAAATAAATTCTTGTTCACTGAATAATCACACGATCATAGTGTAGGATCAGGTTGCTTGTATGCTAGTACCATCTCGATTCAGACCTTCTCTCTTGACGCGATCTTATCTTTTTGTTTTACAGATCACCGTCCCCGGAACCGATCTACAGTAGCGATGGTAAACGATTGAACACAAGAGAGTATCGCACTAGACGTAAACTCGAGGAGGAACGGCACAATCTGATACAAAAGATTCTTAAAATCAATCCGGAGTTCAAACCTCCGCCGGATTACAAGTAATTACGATTCGTTCACGTTCTGTTTCATTGTGTTTCGAGTCGCGTTGACGCATGGTTGTCCTCAGGCCCCCGATAATACGGGTTCACGACAAAGTGATGATCCCACAAGAGGAACACCCAGACATCAACTTCGTAGGCCTTCTGATCGGACCGCGTGGGAACACGTTGAAATGTACGTGCTCGTCGTTTAGATCGACATCGTTCGATATCATTGTAGGGCGCGTCGCGCGCAGTATCGCATCAAGTGTTTTTCAAAAATATTCCTCGCACAGCCATGGAGAAGGAGACCGGGGCAAAGATCATAATTCGCGGCAAGGGTTCGGTGAAAGAAGGGAAAGTCGGAAGGAAGGACGGACAACCGTTGCCCGGCGAAGACGAACCTCTGCACGCTTACATCACGGCTAACAATCTGGACGCTGTGAAGAAGGCGGTCGAGAGAGTAAGGGCAATACCCGATCGCTCCCGAGAACGTCAGGTCAGACCGGTGGTAAAATTACTTTAAACTTTACTCGACAGATTCACGAGATCATAAGACAAGGCGTGGAAGTACCCGAGGGACAGAACGATCTGCGACGGAATCAACTGAGAGAATTGGCATTGCTGAACGGAACGTTGCGAGAAAACGACGGACCACGTTGCACGAACTGCGGGGCGTCGGACCACAAATCATGGCTGGTGAACAATAAAATCATTTTACGATCGTCGTTTTAAAACGTTCACGGGTGCAAGGGAAGAGACCGTTTCAATTCGATCCGTGTCGGTCGTAGTGCCCGGACAAACCGAACGTGACGAACAACATAGTATGCTCGAGCTGCGGCGGAGCCGGTCACATCGCTCGCGATTGTCGATCGAAGAGACCCGGACAAGGAGGACCAGCGGCCGCGGGTATGGGGGGAGGTATGGGGCCAGGCGGAGACAAGGCCAAGATAGACGAAGAATACATGTCGCTGATGGCAGAATTGGGCGAGGGTCCTCCGCCGGATCGATCGAAGACCGGCGGGCAGCCGTCGCGTCAAGCGAATCCGAACCCGAATTACCCTGGCCTCTTCGACAGGTAACAAACGACCAGTGGTGGTGGTGGTGGTGGTGCTGACGGTGGTGACGGTGGTGGTGTCGGTCACCACTGGTGGCTAACACGGGTTCTAACGATCTCTCTCGCGTCGCGTGAAATCTCCTCTGCGCGCCGACGCTGACTCCCCTCTGATTTCAGACAACAAGCGCCGCGAGCTCTGATGGCGGCGCCGGCGCATCCACCGCCGCAGATGATGCAAGGGGGGCCGATGATGCCTCCGCCAGGAATGGCCCCGCCGCCTCCTTGGACCACCCAAGGAGAAGTGAACGGTATGAACGGCATGAACATGCAGTGGCAACCGCCGGTCAGCATGCCTCCTCCACCGGGCGTGATGCAGCCACCGCCACCGCCGCCGGGTTCGACGACTCAACCGAATCCGATCCCACCGTTGATGCCATGGATGACCGGGAACAACCAGCCGCCGCCACCGGGGCAGATGCCGCCGACGCAGATCCCGCCGCCGGGAATGGGCATTCCACCTTGGCAGCAGCAGCAGCAGCAGCAACAGCAGCAACAGCAGCAGCAGCAGCAGCAGGGCCAACAGGGACCGATGCGTCCTCCTCCGCCCGGAACCGCTCCGCCGCCAGGATTCCCAGGTTGGCAGCCTCCTCAGCAGATGGGTGGGTGGCCGCCCGCGGCTCCCGTTCCTCCGCCGCCTCAGCAACAGGCGCCGGCCCCGCCAGGAATCGATCTGAACACTCTCCCGACGTTATTGGCGCAACCGCCGCCACCGCCGCCGCCGACCAGTTAGTGCGAACAATGCGGAATCGAATCGTCCGACGCAAATCTCGAACGCGACAGAGATCTCTATCGTCGGATCCGTAAACGTCGTCGCGTATCATCGAACTGAGAAGGACGGTCGTCAGCCGGAGGTCGGAGTCAGTCAGCTAGCTAGCTAGTTTCAATCAGTCTCGTCTGGTACCAGTGGAAGCCTGGGACACAGCTATTTGATAAGTGTACATTTTCGATTCGTCTCGTGGACCATAGGGTGTGTCGGTAGAAGGGAACGCTTTAGGTTTTTGTTTTTTAGAAGTTAAAACAACGCGTCGCACTTGGAAAGTCGTCACGTTCGTCGGTCGAACCGCGAATTCGAACGAAATCGCAGCAGAGGCGTGCCAGCGTACGTCCGGTTCACCGGTACTCGACTCTCGGTCGTCTCGAACGTCCGTCCCGGGCGCCTCGCGCTCACGGACGTCGACGCGAGCGAGACACGCCAACACACATCGTCGTAACCACGTTACCTTCGAGCACGACAGTAACACAGTTTACACGGTATCGCGTGAAGCTATAGGGTACAATTTACTCGTTCATTCTAGAAGTAGGTAACTAGGTAGGTAACTAGGTAGGTAGACAGGTAGACAGACAGGTAGACAGACAGATAGGTAGGTGACACTACTACTACTACTACTACTACTACTACTACTACGCATAATAAACTATCGGTAGAACGTTCGTTCGTCCGTGCCGTACAAGTATCATGATTCGACTTTGCTTCGAGAGAAGACACTACGATCACACACGTTTGGAACGGAGATTACGGACGAAACTGAATCAGTGCGGTCGTGGAACGAATTTTTTTTCGTTTCATCGCATTCGGTGGAATCGATTCGATCGAACGAATTCCGTACATCATCGTATCCGACGGATCTCGTCAGATCCAACGAAGCGTCTGAATGACCACGCGTCCGACCGCGAACCGATACAACGTCAGACTCTGACAGAACCGTCCGCCCCGAACGGAGACAGCCACCGTGGATCGCGTTCTCGATTCGGAATTCAGTGTTCTACCGGATCCGACCGGATCGAAACCTGGTCGAGGTCACCGCGACGGTGGAACGATCAGTCGTCCGTACGACACGTTCGTTCGCGTCGGTCTCGATGAAAACGAGCGACACACACGCGATCCGTCGATCGTCCAGATCAATGGTCATCGAGCGATCACTAAGCATCATTTTCTCTCCATTACTCACGATCATCGAGACACGTAAGAAACGTGTAAGCGCAATAACAAGGTGATCGATCACGACGACGAAACGGATCGGGATCGTACGAAGCTTCGTACGAGGTAAGACGAGAATCGCCCGTTAGGTTTAATCGATAAGACACAAGACGATAGTTTGTGAAACTCAAGTGTACGTCTGCAGAATAAAGATACGTCGGAGAACCCTGTGTCTGACATTCGTACGACGCCCCATCGTTCAGTCGAAACACGCACACGCACACGCACACGCACGACGCATCACGCTCCGAGAAGCGAATCGATACAATTTCTGACACGTCGACGATTTTAAAACTCGCTCCGTTCGAACACGAAGCGCGATTCACGTCGGAGGTCGAACGAAAACACGGCCAACGAACGTAAGCGTCCGCGACAACGCGTAACGTCTCGAGTCGAGACTCGCCGCGTTCGTGGAACGTTTTTAAAAGAGTACAGCGGTGGACGGGAAAGAAGCTGGTGGTGGCGACGATTCGGAAGGCGACGGAACAGACATCGTGAACATTCCGAACGCAGCGTAGGTCATTTCTCCCGATTCCTCTCTCTGGACACGTTAAAACGCAATTAGCGTGGACGGCGGAACGAGCATCGAAAAAGAAGAGACAGACCGACGACTCGTGGGCAGAACGGGGCCAGACCGTGCTGCCATCAGCCCCTGGCGGCAGAACAATCGCAGGCCCTGCCAGTAGATCCGCCGTGAATCTGCAATCGTTCCGCCGGGAGGCGTGAAAGCAGGGATCTCGTATCTTTCCGTACACGCCGGAAAGCGGGGACGACGCGACCATGGTGGGGACCAATAGTCGGTGGGGGTATGCAGTGATTTTCAAGATTCGTAGGCTTATTTTGGCTATACATTTGGTCAAGTCGGCAACGTGGAGAGTAGAAATCGTTCGAAGCCAGAAACTATCGCGGCAATAACGAGAACAAAATTATACTTAAAAAACAATAAAAAAACACGTAGGGATCATCGTGTAACAATGGACACGTTAAAATTATTCAATCGCACAACGTATAAGAGAAAACCAATTCCTATCGACATAGCAAATGTAATTCTACAAGACGAAACTGATGAAAGTGAAAGTTCAAATACTGATGGTGAATAAATATGTTTTTAAACAAATAAAATTACATTTCTTTTATTATTTACCTCTCCCGAATAGATTCAATTTGAAATTTACAAACACGAAAAGCATACATTATTTCTCATACATTTATGCTTTTCAAATATATACATGCATATAAATTATATTCATTACATTTACTTTCGCTCTTCATAATAATTCATTTCGTCCGATTCAAATTCAGAAATCACTAGGACGAAATGTTATGCAGGTGGCGGTGCGGAGAGCTTCGCGAAGGCGCGTGAGGAGAATAGTAGTGGGGATCGAAAAACGGGCGAAAAACAGGGGAAGCGAGCCGTGTACGGAAAGATACGAGATCCCTGGGCGAGAGGGAACTTCGCTCCTTCCTCTCGCACGAGTTCGAGAAGGGCTCGCATTGACAAGTATGGGGCACATGCCGTTCCATACGTCACCGTATTTAACTCAAAAGCCGTAAGCGTCTCGGCTTTTGGTGCACGCCACACTATGCACTGATAGCGTCGGTCTTCCGGGGCAACGA